GAACTAATTGCCTCCTGCAAGCTCCACTCCCCCTTTGCGCCTCTTTTATTTCCTCTGGGAGGGGCCATTCATCGTCTACCTGTGGCCGTACTCACACATCGACCTCTGTTCTTTAGTTGTTCCCTTCGTCTGGCAATTTTGTGCATGAGCACACTGGGAATACGCTCCAGCTGTTCTTCTGCCTCACTGATGTCTGATTCTGAAGGCAACTGGTAACTAGCATACGGCTCTGGCCCCCTCTCTGCCTCCGACACAGAGCCCTCATCAGAGCCTTCCCCAGACTCCAGGACTGGCCCATGTTCCTCCCCAACTTCCTCACTGTCCGAATCTGCTGCCAGCTCCGCTAGATGCTGGTGGGCCACAACAGTGCTTCGCAGAACTCTCTGGGCAGTTTATAATGTCAGCATATTGCCCCCAACAATCTGGGGTCTTCATTTTACTGACCTCGGAAGGATGAGAGGCTGAGTCAACCATGAGCCCTTGTCAGGATCAAACTCCAGACTGTGAGCAGAGTGAGCTTGCAGTATACACTGCACCACCAGAGCTCCTTTGCTGAGTAGGGCTTACTTTACTGAGACAAGGTCTGTCTGGTCGACCAATAGCTTCTGTCCCAATCCCTGAAACCTGTTGCAGCTCCACTATATGGAACCCGAATTGGAAGGTCTGCTGCACCCTGGAATTGAGGCTGCTGGAGAGGCGCTGCACGGTTTGCCACCCAGGCTTTAGGGAGGCTGCCCCAGGGTGTAAATGGTATGAGGGGTTGTGCGAGATGTGGGTCAGAGAGGCTGTGTGGGTATGAGAGGCATGGTGTCAGTTGGGGAGAGTGCGGAGATGCATGTGAGAGGCATTGCACACATCAGGTAGGGTGCGCAACAGACATGACATCATCCGGGAGGGTGTGAGAGGTGCTACCTGGATTGTGGAAGGTATCTGATGGTGTGCAGGGATGTACAGGTACCATATTTTTCGTAGTATAAGACACACCTTTTTCCCTTAAAAAAGAGGGTGAAAATCTGGGTGCGTCTTATACATTGAATACAGCATTTTTTGCCTTTTGAAACCCCGCCCCCTTTGCAAAAATGGCCGTGCATAGCCTTTAAGAGACTTCCAGAGTGCTCCTGTAGGCTGGAGGGGGGCAAAAATGAGCGAAAAATGGCCCGTTTTTCACTCATCCCCCCCCCCAGCTCCCAGGAGCACTCTATAAGCCTCCTAAAGGCTATACATGCCTTTTTTCCCCACAAAAAATAGGTCCTTTTTCTCAAAATGTGGTCTGTTTTGGGGAGGTCTGCAGAGTGCAAAAACTTTTTTAAAAAATTTGCCTCTTCAAAATCTTGGTGCATCTTATACTCTAAAAATATGGTAATTGGTGCAGCGTGAGGGGCTGGCGGGAGGATGCAGAGGTGGGAGAGATTCAACCCAATGATTTGTGATCTTTCCTGTTGGCTTCCTCATTGGCCTTTGGGGAAGGCCATCAGGGATGTTTGCAGATAGGATCCCATGATCATGGGGCGCTTGGCAACCGATCGTCCGTGCAAACAGATCGCCAAGCACCCAGATCATGATCACATGACGATGAGAGTGCGTGGATGGCTGGAACTCTGAAGCCCAGCTATAACAACCATTTCTTCAGTACCATTGCAACTAGGAATGATAGCTGACCGAATGGTCATAGACTGAGGACTATCCAAACCGACTTTGTACCTCAGGCTCTGTAACTCTTTATCAGCAACACTTCCCTTTTTTGTTCCCTAGGACTTTCTTGTTAGAACTCATCCTGTCAGAAATGAAGGAAAGTAATGTCCTCATCAATGAAGAGATGGCCATGTTCCTTGCAGTGTCTTTTGAAAAGAAGTGTCAGTCGGTGCTAACATTGGTTTCTGCCACAAATGATGAAGAGGTAAATGTCTCCACTCTTGCATTGTGTTCTGACCTTGGCTTCCTGATACAGTAAAAAGCACACGCTTAGTCCCCAAAACCCTCTTTTTATTTCAAAGGCTGTGAATTATATTCACGCACAGCCTTTAATGAGTCACTAATAGTTTGTAAAGAGTCCAACAGAAGTCTGCCACAGTCCTTCGGGATAAGGCTGATAAGCACCCACCTTTATCTCCCTTGAAACGCTGCCAAAGACATAATTGGCAATTAGCTTGGCAAGGCCACATGGAGCACAGAGTCAAAGTGGAGCTTCAGAATGTAAGCCGAACAGAACGAACAAAGTTACTTCCTGCCTTTGCTCCTCCTTTATGTCTTATGGGAGGGGCCAATCACCTCCAAGCCTTACTCCGGAGCCGTCCCTTTTGTCTTACCTGTTCTTGCCCTCTGGCAGCTTTGCGCATGCACGCACTGGGAACAGGGGGAGCCTGTTTCTCTGCCTCGCTGATGTCTGACTCTGGAGGCAGTACATAACTCCCAGATGGCCCTGGCCCCTTCTCTTCCTCCGACACAGAGCCCTCATCCGTTGTTCCTCCTCAACCCCAACACATTGAAAGGCGAATTGTAAAATATAGCCTGGACTTCTACGTTGGGGCACCTGCCCAAATTCTGGCAGCGTGACGGGCCCACATAGCAAAGGGGCAGCCCTTCATTCACATCGTCACGCCTGCCATCTTATGGATTTTCACCCTACCCCCCCCTAAGACCACCTCTGACTTTGTGGCAGTTCAGAACTACCCCTTGCACCAGCCACACTTCGGTGGATAAATATTTCACCAGTTTTCTCTTCCCTCAGAGCTCTCTTGGAATGTGAAGTGGTTAGACAAACGTACTTTGCACATATTTACCTACTTACAATACGGTGTCTAAGCCATCGTGTGTCTGGTGTGGGGAAAAAAAAGTCCTCTAGTGAGGAGTTTTGCTGTACAGTCAAATTTGTGTGACCGATTTGCTCAGTCAGTTAAATTGAATTAAAAATTAAATTTGCTCACGCCAACTCGAGTCACAAAGTAACGCACATCAATTGCAAAGATGTTGATGTTTACTGCAAGAAATGGGAAATTGCTTTGTTTTCTTGCTTTCTAGCGAGGAGGCCCTGAAACCAAGGAAAAGATTAGAAGACTCACATTTTTTTGAGGTGGGGGGGACGACAAAAATGCAGGTGTGACTGCCTGATACAAGGCCTGACACTTTGTTGTCTAGGACTCATAAAAAAGGAGTGGCATTCTGGTTGTGTGATCATGGCTGCCATCTTGACATCTCCCCCAAGCAGTGGTGGAATTCATTTTTTTTAAACTACCGTTTCTGTGGGCGTGGCTTGGTGGGTGTGGTGTAGCTTGCTGGGCGTGGCTTGGTGGCGTGACACGGGAAGGATACTGTAAAATCTCCATTTCCTTCCGATCAGCTGGGACTCGGGAGGCAGAGAATCAATGTGGGTGGGGCCGGTTTGGTTCTTTGAACTACTCAAAAATTCTGTTACTGGTTCTCCAGAACTGGTCAGAACCTGCTGAATACCACCTCTGCACCCAAGCCCCCTTGGATAGCATTGCTAGGGAGGCCAAATTTTGTAACTTTGTTTGCTATCTGTATGCTTAAATGGATGTAGTTTAGCAATAATTTAATCAAATCACATGCTAGCTGCATAACGTGCCTTCTTCGGTAAAAAAAAATGTTGGAACAAACTTTTTTTTTAGTTACTAGCTAATCAGTCCCAAGCTAATTCTTAGAATATTAGATAACAAAAGTCCTTAATAATTAGATAAAATTGGATAAAAGCTATACTGTGGCATAATCCTGTGCAAATTCAGCCTTTATTTTTAAAAGTCTTTTTTTTGACCCTGCAAATGATAATTTGGCAATTGATAGAATTGGCATATTTTAGCCCAGGTGCGGTTAGGCAATGCCAAGAACGATTTAGCAGTTGCGTAAATAAATAAGAATTTATCCTGTTTCCTATATTCTAACACTGGTTAGACAGAAATATTTTTTTTAAAAGCCTTCTCATTCAAAAATACTCTTCAACATACCAATTGAATAGTTATTAGAAGCCTAATATAAGTTATGGTAGTTCAGCTATACAGATTCTTAGTGATCATAAACTGTGATCTTGGATCTGTGGGTTATCTTAACGAGAATTCCAGTGTATTATCTTAGAAACAATTTAGTGCATATATATAATTCTTGCTGAATTTAAACATCAAAGAGGAGTTAAAGCAGATAATTGAATTAGAAGTGCATTATCTGATTTCAAACCTATTGCCTCTTTTCTGTAGGAAGCCCTAGTTGCAATTCGTCTCCTCGATGTTCTTTGTGAAGCGACATCAAATCCTGGAGAACTGCAGCCTTTCCAAGCGTGTCCCGATTTGCTTGAAGTAGCTATCAGTAAGTGGGATTTTATTTTATTATGATTTCAAAACTGTGTCATTGAAAGGGAACATTTGTTTTTAATTTTGCTGGAAAATAAAAGTTGTACCATTGCTAAGTAAGTAAATACTGATAGTCCTTGACTTACAACAGTTCATTTAGTAACCATTCAAAGTTACAGCAGGACTGAAAAAATGTGACTTAGGGCCATTTTTCACACTTACAACCATTGCAGCATCCCCATGGTCATGTGATTTACGTTTGGATCAGAACAGAGCTGGAAGGAACCTTGGAGGTTTATTTGTTTGTTTGTTTATTGGATTTATATGCCGCCCTTCTCCCAAAGGACTCAGGGCGCCGTACAAAATTTTTAAAAAACCCACATATTACAAAAGTTTTTAAAAAAATTAGAGTATCCAAAAAACAAAGCCAATTAATATTAACAATAACATTTAAAAAATTCGATTAAAATTAACAATAATCAATCATTTATTTTATTTTGTTCAGGCCAGGCCGGCTTGCTGGAAAAGCCAACTTTTTAGGGCGTGTCGGAAGGACCGGAGTTCGGGGATTATGCGAAGCTCCGGGGGCAGCTCATTCCAGAGGGAAGGCGCTCCCGCAGAGAAGG